AAAAAATCTGGCCAAACCGAAGAACCTTTTAATATAATTTATAACGTTGCCTTCGCCGTTATAAGATTATCAAAAGAGGATGCGGAATTAACATTCTACATCCTCTTTTGATATTGCTTTCCCCTCCTCTACATCTTTATTTTTACCTCACCGCTTTCACTCCAAAAACTCTCATTTTGCTGTTATAAACCGCTGACGTTGGCCGGGATTACATTTGAGTGTCCTTTGCCAAACCACTTAAACTTTTGTCTAGGGCCGTTTTCGTTGTATGACGTGATTACTTTTTATCTTTTTATTACTTTCCGAGGAGCGCGTTCCCATTTATGAATTCCCAATAAGTTTTGTTTGATGGGCTTTGAGAAGGAAATGAGGATTAGGGATATTGAAGTTGCCGAACATCGTTCGGAATTTCATTTCGGAACTTCATTTGAAACGAATTTACGAAAAATTTATTAACAGGGGAAGTACTCCAAGTGCGACGCTCAGATTTTGATGAAACTTGGCACAAATTTACAATAATTTTTGCCAAGATATATTTTAAAATTTGGCCATCGCTTGGCCAGAAGGTAATAATTTGGCCACATTCTTTTAAATTTGGCATTTTTTCCCGCTTGGCCAAACTTTTCAGGGTTTGGCCAAATTTTTTAAGAATTTGGCCATTTTTTCTCTTGGCCAAGATTTTTAAGATTTGACGACATTCTTTCCCTTTTCGGCCATTTTTTTCTCTCTAGGCCAAAAATTCTAACAGGGGAAGTACTCCAAGTGCGACGCTCAGATTTTGATGAAACTTGGCGCAAATTTAGAATAATTTTTTCTAAGATATATGCGGGAATCCTAGCTCGCGTTTTGCAGAAAAAACCCAGATTTTTAGATCAAAAGTAGGCGAAAATTTTGGATTTTTTGCCGAATTTCGGCACGAAAAGTTTCATGCCTATTTCTACAGTAAAGGATAATGTTTCTACGAAAAATCAAACTTTTCCGCTCGAAACCGCCAAAGTTATGGCCAAAAAGCGTTTTTCTCTCTCCAACCGCTCTCCACGATTAGCGTGCTCTCTCGGCGGGAAAAATCGTTCGATATTTCGGCGGCACCCGCAAAGTGCGAGCTCAAACATTCAGGAATTGATATTTAGTCCATACCCGACGTGTGTGCAAAATTTAAGGAAAATCTGAGCGTCGCACTTGGAGTACTTCCCCTGTAAGTCTGGGAGACGCTTTGAATGCTGAAATTTTAAAGGGAAGTTTAGAGGTGAATGAAGATGCGATAAATTTTTTAACGACTCGATAAAACTTGTCGGCAGTTGCAATACAAATTGCAATGAGATAAAATGTTGGTTGCCAGCGCCTGTCGCTTCGGGCTGCCCCGAAGCTACAGGTAATCGTCATGTGATTTTCTACAAAAGAAAACATTCCGGACGACGTATTTTAACCAAGGAAAAAAACTGAAAAAAATGGGACTTGCCTTTGCTGTTTGATAAAGTAAAATTTTGTAGAGGGTGGGGCATCTTTGTGGCCCGATTTGAATTGGCAATAACTTCTTTAGTTTTTGGTCAAATCTTAAAATTCTTTTTTTCCCTGAGCCCTCAGACAACCCCATTTTGTTTGATACTAAATATGTTATGCATAGTAAGTGTTTGTTTCATCAGAAATTTCCTGTTTTTTCTTTTTGAATGCGCTGTATGATATCTTCATTTCTCCTGGACAGTATTCGGCTGTAAGACACATCGCCGGTCAATCTGTCGGGAAAATAATGAGCACAATGTCGCTGCGCCGATCGCGTCGCTGAAATGAAAAAAATTTTGATTTTGCCGCGACACAATTCATTTTCTCAGCGGCATTGTGATTTTCGATGCGACAAAGTGCTCATTATTTTCCCGACAGACTGATAAAAATACTAACTTTTACTGTACATGCCGGTAATTGCCTCAATTTTTCGCAGACTTCTCTCCTTATCCAGACGTAAAAGTTGTCATCCATGAACGTTTGTTTTCAATTTTTATTCCACCATTTTTTCTTTTTTTCATTTTCCCATCAGCCAATTCCGGTGGGTTTCCGAGAAACAATAAAAAGAACATAATTTGTTATGGCCGCCGCAGCATGTTTTGCCGATAATTTAGTAGTCAAACGGTCTGTTCCTGAAGGGCACAGAGAGGGTAATTCTAACGAAAATTTTTTTTTGAGGAGGCGGTTTTTACCGACCGCTGAATGCTTCTTTGTTCGGCGTCAAAAGCTTTGACTATAGTTTGTAAACTACGGCAGTTTTAATCTTCCTTGTGACTTCCCTGTCTGTTCCAATCGCCCAAAAAACAATATTTTCAGTATTTTCATCGACTCACGAGTTATAAAAAATTCCATTTTAATCAAAATTGCAACTGCCAATGAATAATATTTGATGTTTTGCTCAGCAATCCTCATACATGTTGATTCCCCAAAGCAATTTTTCGAATGGACCTGGGAAACATATAATACTTGGTTATAATCCGTGAACAAATCCCCACAGGGCCTATAGTTTTACCCAGAACAAAGGGTAGAGTGTGTTCATGTTGTGTGCACTATAATCACAGTGTAAAAGTGAGTGGATCGCGGTGGGATTTGCAAAGAACCCTGGGATTTGGAGTGGAGGACGTGTCAGCGCCGCTATTATGTATATTATATTTGGAACGTATTATTTGTTGGTACGTGACGAAACGAACATGGAGCTGTATTGGCATGGGAGGAAATATTCGCATTTTCACAAAGTGCGTAGACTTTTTTCGCGACGCACAATGCAATTTGCCACTTTTGGCATTATGCAATGTCCGTCGAAAAATTCGCGGCGACACAGTCGAAAAACCTTGCGCCATTCCGATTTTTCAATTGCAGAGTGCAGTATTAATATTTTCATAAAGTGCGTGGACATTTTTTCGCTTTTGTGCAGTGCAATTTTCTTTTTTTTCACACTCATCGCCAATGCACAGTGTATTTTCAAACCAAATACGAAACTCTTTTTGACCTTTCTGAATAATTACCGCAGACGCACCTGTAGCGCGGTTTTGGCATTTCAAGAGAGCCGCAAAACTTTCTGGAACTTTCGAATGAACCTAGTTGACAGGATGCACGTTGTGTTCGGATTTTATGCGTGCGTAGACTTTGTTTTTGCGGCGTGAATTTTGTTTTTTTTTTGCACTGCGCAATGCCTGTAGTCGAAAAAAAACTTGCGTCGAAAACTTTTTGAATTGCACAGTGCAAAATGTAAAATGCACTGTGAGGAAAGCTTGCAAAGAAAAGTCTATGCACTTTATGAAAATTCTAATAAAGTGCGCGGAAAAAAATCAAAATGCACCCCGCAAAAACCGGGCTTTTTCCTTTTGCACTGTGCACATTTTTGAGCAAAATCGCAGCGGCTCAGTTGAGAAAAGCTTACGTCGCAGCGATATTTCAAATGCACAGTGCAAAATCAAAAAAAAGGTGAGTGCACGGGTCTTGCTTTGCAGTGATTTGAAGGTGGTACCTCTAATCCTGGGTATAAAGGCGGCTGGAGCAACCCAATCCTGTCCCAACTGTACCGTGGAACGTGCAGAGCACAAGAGGGCGATGACGACGGACGCTGGGAGGAGGACTTACAGAGATCCGCTGATATGTCTTCTGCAGGAAGATGTAGTGGGGGACATACTCGCAAATTTTTGTACACGGTGCAAAAATTGACATTCTCAGCGACATTTGGGATCGTTAGGCCAATAGAATTATATTCTTTTTGCTCTGTGTTCCGTTCGCATGACGTGCTGTGACGCGGCGCGTGTGCCCCTCTCCGATATTACACTTGATGTTTGTCGGCGGGGGGCCAACAGATTTCAGCGTTTGTTTCGCGTTTTCCCCCACGGCGTTCCCTCGCTTCTACAGAGCAAGGGGAGAGTGGATGATGTGTGGAGTCTGAGTGTGGGTTACTTGAAGACGGGGTTTTTGGTTTTTGGGACGTTTGAGGAACGCAGATTAGGAAGTTATTCATCAGATTTTTTGGGAAAAGGATGACATTTTTTGGAAAAAAGATGTTTTCAGTCTGTCGGGAAAATAATGAGCACTCTGTCGCAGTGAAAAATAGCATCAAAATGAACTGTATCACGGCAAAAATAAAGATATTTTTACTTCAGCGACGGGATCGACGAAGCAAATTTGGACTCATTATTTTCCCGACAAACTGATTTTTCTTAAAGAAAATGATATCTTAGGGAGTCCACTACTATCTTAAAAGACAGCAAGAGACTTTTTAAACCTTGCTTTGCGATTTTTTCACAGAGAAATTGGGATTCCAATAGAATTACTTCTAAATCTTGAAAAAAGATGATTTAATGGTTAAAACAATATAAATTGCTCACTTTACACGGAAAATTGTGCTTCATATAGCTTTTAAATTTACTATAGGTCCTTTAAAACCCATTACCATCAAAACATGACACAAATGCTCACTATAATCGTACATTTTGCACGTTCTCCGAGTGTAATCCGATTACATGGTAAGTATAATCTAATATCTCGCTGATACTGACTCATTCCATCTTATGCACCTTGTGTATTGAATACGGATTTAGAGCTTATGTTATTTACGACCTCTACTCCATTTTTAGGACCATTCCCTCCAGCCGTTTTTAATATATTATGTCCATATTGCTCGTGCCACTTGTGATATCCCCGTTTCCACTATATCACCCCGCATACGTCGATGTTATAAATTCGCGGCAAATTTTGCCCTCCGGCGAAGGAGGCGTGGCCCTCCACACATTTTTTTTCAACGTCCTTTTTCAGTGTGCCGTGCCGTGAACAGAGAGAGCGCTGATTGAAGAGAGAGCCGCAGAGAGAGCGCACAAAAGTCGGAGAGCCCCGCACAGAGTTCACGGAAGGAGTGGAGAGCGCGAGAGAAGCGTCCGCCTCCCCCCGAAAAAAAGGAAAGCAGCCCTCAGGCCCCGCACCGGCCCGAGACGGCTCCGCATTCTGGCCAAGGCGCTTATGGCGACTGGCGCTCCACGGGCATGACCGGCCCGTCGTATTTCCCCCTACTGTACCTGTTGGTTTCTTTGTTCAACATCTTCACGCACGCTGCAACCTATCAAGGTGGGTTTGAAGGTCGTTTTTGGGGTTGGGATTTTTGAAAAATTTGCATATTGGGATGACGTCATTTTATGACGTTGACTTTTTTCTTGAGTTTTTATTGCGGGAATTGGCTGAATTCTTGAAGAAATAGTAAAATTAGCCGTTATTTTTGTTAATTTTGGGGAAATTTGAATATTTCTGAGGAAAATTTGCATATTTTAAAAAAAATTTTTTTTGAAAAAACAGCATTTTTAACGTCAAAAAATTTCTTTTTGTATTTGTATGGCCTTATCAACTTTTTAAATGACTAATTTTTGCATAATTTACCGGAAATTTGCATATTCATAAAATTTGAATATTCAAATTTTTTCAAATTTCCCACAAAATTAAATTTAAATGACGTTTTTGCCCTTTCCATTCACTAATTATGCCCCTAATCGTCAATAAATCTCGCACGTAATCTCGTATTCCCTCAGTTTTTTCTCTCCAATTTACCCCAACATTGCCAAAAATACCGCCGAATTTTGACGCTCCGTGGGTTGTATTACTACTTTTTTTTGATGAGCATATCGAATTACGAGTGGGAGGATGACCTAATCCAGTCGAATATTAGATTAAAGATATAGAAAATCTCGGGAAATGGGGAGATAATCAAAAATTCCGGGATTTGAGCGATTTTTTGAGGATTGATGACTAAAATAAGGTGAAAAATGATGAATTAAGACAATTTAACACAATTTTTTGATGTTTTATAGCGTTTTATTGGATCAGCATGCTCTATTGAGTAGCTGAGAATAGCAAACTGCCCGGAAGTATTTTATTTTTTTTTTTCGATTTTTCGACAATTTTTCCCTTTTTCGGCCATTTTGAACTAAAGTAAGGTCAAAGTCGCTTGTTTTTCCCCCCAATTTTATCCGCCTAAAGTGCTATTCACTTGGCGTTTTATCCGTTTAAACCCTACGTCAGCATAATTGCATTTAAATCCGGGAATTCTGGCGTAAGCGGAAGGAATTTTCCCGTTTGTTTCCTCGATGAAATCACTTTTTGACGTCTGAATTTTTTGAGGAAACATTTTCCTTTTTTCATCCCAGATTATCTTTGCTATCCCCTCTGAGTGCTTCAGTGAGTTATTCGATGGGATTAATAAGCCACTTATGAGAGGGATTACTGTAATTTTTTGGGGAAAAAAGGGAAATTTTTTGTAATTTTTTTAATTTTTCTTGCGGAATAAAAATGTTTTGAGATCGAAAAATTATTTTAAAAATATTTTTGAGAGGGTTACTGTAATTTTTTGCGAAAAAAAATTTAAAAAAAAATTTGCGAATTTTTGAAATTTTTGGATTTTTTTTTGATTTTTTAGCGAAATAAAATTTTTAGAAGCTCAGAAAAATTGAAAAAATTATTTAGAAGAGAGATTACTGTAATTTTTTGCAAAAAAAATAAAAAAATTTTTCGGAATTTTTTAATTTTTTTGGAAGTTTTTGATTTTTTTTGCGAAATAAAATGTTTTGAAGCTCAAAAAATTCTTTTTAAATATTTACAAAATTGATTACTGTAATTTTTCGCAAAAAAAATCAAAAAAAATTTTGAGATTTTTAAAATTTTTTTTTCAAAAAAAAAATTTTTGTCCTCAAAAAATACGTTTTTAATATTTTTCGCTCTCCCTTCCCCTATTTTTTAATCCGTTCACAGAACTGGAACGCCAACTTCCGCCAACGACCATGAATAATATCCGGCGCCAAAAAAGAGCGTTCAAATTGGAGAGAGGGGCAGAGAAATTTTTAATGACATGAAATCAGCGGGGTTCATCGTAATTTTGTAGGCCAAGTTTGTCAAATTCATTTTGAATTTTTTGCGAAAAACAAATTTTTTCCCGATTTCTGTCTGATTAAGTTAATTTTAGGCCCAAAAATGTGGGTTTCTGGGGAAAACTTGGGATGTTTACTACTTGAGTCACTTCCAAATCCAATTTTTCGGTATTTCCAAGGCTTTTTGACTTGTTAAATAGAATTTAAAGCAATCCATTTGTCGCTGGAAACCTATTAACCCCTCGAAAATTGGTCTCGACATGTGACAATCGCATTTTTTTGGACAATAAAAAATTTTTTTTTTTTGTTTTTATCTCCCCCCATATACTGCCCTATAACCCCAATACAAGTGCTGTCTGTGTGGTTGTTAACGTGTAGGCTTGTTTTTGGGGCCGTTTCCGGCCGAAAGAACAATTTATGGGAATGTCGGGGGTGCGGGTCCCGAGGGTCCGCACAAACGCTTCCTAGATGATGCGTTACAACCAAATGGGAGAGGGGAGATGAATTTAGAACGGATATAAATAGTAATGGGAGTATTTTTAAAAGTACATTAAAAATTTTTTGCACTGTGCGAAATTCGAAATTTTTTTCGCATAGTGCGGTCGGAAAGAAAGTTTTTTTGCACAGTGCAAAATTTGAAAAAGTTTTTTTGCACAGTGCGGTCGGAAAGAAAGTTTTTTTGCACAGTGCAAAATTTGAAAAAGTTTTTTTGCACAGTGCGGTCGGAAAGAAAGTTTTTTGCACAGTGCGGTCGGAAAGAAAGTTTTTTGCACAGTACAAAATTTGAAAAAATTTTTTTGCACAGTGCGAAATTTGAAAAAATTTTTTGCACTGTGCGAAATTCGAAAAAATTTTTTGCACAGTGCGGTCGGAAAGAAAGTTTTTTGCACAGTACAAAATTTGAAAAAATTTTTTTGCACAGTGCGGTCGGAAAGAAAGTTTTTTTGCACTGTGCAAAATTTGAAATTTTTTTTTGCACTGTGCAAAATTCAGATTTTTTTTTCGCACAGTGCGGTCGGAAAAAAAATTTTTTGCACTGTGCAAAATTTGAAAAAATGTTTTTGCACTGTGCGAAATTCGAAATTTTTTTTGCACAGTGCGGTCGGAAAGAAAGTTTTTTGCACTGTGCAAAATCTTTGTGGTTTGCACAGTGCGGAGAGGTCAAAAAAGTTTTGCACCGTGCGGATGTTTCTTGAATCTTTTGCACTGTGCAGTCAGGAAATTTTTTCTTTTTTTTTTCTCAATTTTGCACGGTGCGGTCGGAAAAAGAGTTTTTTTGCACAGTGCAAAAAAATTTTTTTGTTCCGCACAGTGCAAAATTTATTTTTTTTTGCACAGTGCAGCCAGAAAAAAATTTTGCACAGTGCAAAAATTTTTTGCCTTTTGCACAGTGCAAAAATTCTTTTCTTTGTTTTTCCTCACCATGCGCGAGAAAATTTGTTTTTGCCGTGGATGGCATTATTTTCAACGCTTAATATTCCATATAGTATGCGCTGTGAAATCGACTATAGTCGTTTTTGTTTACCGCTTTGGCCAATCTGACGCGTTGATTCGATTATCCGGCCCAATTTCCGTTTTTTGGGCCGATTTAATTTGAGTTGCCCCCAAAAAACAGTCCAAAACCCAATGTTCTTTCATCCGTGCGATGAGAAAACATTGGGGTTTTGTTCAATTAGCTCATATCGCAGACCGTTTTTATTAATTTTATTGCGAAACAACGCCTTCTGAATATTTCATGTTTCCGGGTGAATTATGCAAACAAAAAAATGACGTGAAAAAACGTCACTCCGACTTTCTTCCCCCACTTGCCTCGCTTTTCGGCCGCCTTTTTGGGAGATGTTGTTCGGCCCTCGGCCGATATTTTTGGATGCATTCCACGTCAGGCTTGGAAACGGATAAATAAAGATACGAAATGACAAATCTGCAAAGAAACGGAACCATTTTTTGAAGACAACGTCATGGAAACATTGTAAATAGCAATATTGTAAAGCGTATGGGGGTGTTTGGGTTCGATATCTCGTCATTTCCCATTGCACAGTGCAAAGAGTTCATTGAGGCTGCACAGTGCGGAATTTTTGGTGACTGCACAGTGCGGAAAAATATTTTGTGCGGAAAAATATTTTTCCGCACTGTGCAACATTTTTTGAGATCGCACAGTGCAAAAAAAAAATTTTTTTGTGTCGCCGCCGCACAGTGCAAAAGAATCTTTTCACTTCCTGTCGCTGCGCAGTCCGCACTGTGCACTATTTCTTTCTATTGCACGGTGCAAAAAAAAACATTTTTTGTCGCCGTCGCACAGTGCAAAAGTTTCTTTTCACTGCACTGTGCAAAAAATTCCTTTCCTCACTGTGCAACATTTTTTGGCATTGCACAGTGCGAAACAACCTTTTGTCGCCGCTGCACAGTGCAAAAATTTTTTGTCGCAGCTGCACAGTGCAAACAAATCTTTTTCCGCACTGTGCAACATTTCTGTTCTATTGCACTGTGCGGAAAGATTGTTTTATCGCAGCCGCACTGTGCAAAAAGAAAGACTTTTTTGTCGTGCTGCACCGTGCAAAGAAATCTTCTTTCAGCTCTGTGCAAAAATTTTTTGTCGCGGCTGCACTGTGCAAAAATTTTTTTGTCGCCTCCGCATAGTGCAAAAATTTTTTGTCGCGGCTGCACTGTGCAAAATTTTTTGTCGTGGCTGCACTGTGCAAAAATTTTTTTGTCGCCTCCGCACAGTGCAAAAATTTTTTGTCGCAGCTGCACAGTGCAAAATTTTTTTTTGTCGCCTCCGCACAGTGCAAAAAAAATCCTTCCTCCGCACCGTGCAAAACACTGATCTCATCTCTGCACAGTGCAGTCCGCCAAAAAAACTTTTTGTTTCCAAAGATAATTGGCCTCAATTTTTGGTGTAACACATACGTCATTTGAGTTTCCTGTCCCTCCAAATTTGCTTCTCGAACGTTCTCTTCTACAATCTCGCTAAATGAGTGCATTTTTGGGGGGATTTAGGTGTAATCTACATCATTACATATGTAGTACATTTTTTGATATTTTGAAAGTTTACATCAACATTTGCTGCAGAATAACGTCTGGTCTGACCATATGAACTCGAAAATTTGTAATGAAGACTAAATTTCAGTTAATTTTTAGTCATCATTTTTGGTCTTCGCCTCAAATTTAGCCCATTTTATTACACAACAAAAAAACAAAGAGTTTCGAACTTTTTTGTTCGTAAAAATGACATTTAGAGCCCACAAAGCCGGCTCAACATGCATTATACATGAACCTTAAGGACCAACGAACAATAGAAGCTTTTGCCCTCCGGGCGACTAGACAATAACATTCTCAGAAAATTGAACTTTTTACAAATTTTTTTGTTTATAACCAAGTCCAAAATGTAATTAGACTATTGTCGGCGCCGTGATATGCCCTTTACAAACTTTTGCGGCCGGAAAACTACTGTAATCTGAGCGGAGATTTGGAAAAGTTTAGCAAAAAATGCATCTAGTTTGAAAATACAGTAATTTTTCGACTGAGACCCATCAGGAAATTGCATGTTGTGTGCGATGCAGATCATCTCCAGACTGCGTGGGATCCCATGAATAACAAATGAGACGCTTTTAGGGCCGCAGGAAGCCCGTTTTTTCAGACAAGGATAAGATAAACCGCGATTTTTGAGAAAACAGTGGGTGGAGGGCTAAAACTAGACTTCATACAGTCATCTGTAAGCGTCATTGTGTCTAAATAATACATTCATTACGATTTTATAGCTTTGACGTAAGAAGCAGTTTGAAATTTGGACATCAGATGTCATGTGTAATATAAAGAAATGGTCGTAGGAGGAAACTGAAGTAAAATAAATTGGATTGAGTGTTACCACATAAAAATAGATGTCACTGCGCTAACAAAACGTCAAGAATTCAGCGAATACATGCATGATATTATACATAAACTTCAATTTAAAAATAACCCATCAGATCTCAAGTACAATACAAAAATCATCGAAAATCTTTGCAGGATGCCTCTTGGATGAAACTCTCTGTCAACCCAATGAAGCGTGCATATCGGACGGCCTGTTTGGCCAATGTTACGATCAGTCCACCATCGACACTCCGCCGCTTTTGCTCGACAATGACCTGAGCCTGCCGCAACGTGCCCTCCTCCGCCTGGAGCTGGAGCGTTTGGCGAACGAGGGCTTCGACTGGCAAGACGCGATGGCGCAGTGCATCCTCGCTTACTTCAAGGTCTCCGTGGCCTACGATCTGAGCTACGACACCGAGTTCTGCAATGTCCGCAACCCGGCCAATGTTCTGCGTTTGATCAATGTAAGCGATGACGAAATCAATATTTTTTGTGGTTTTATATGGCTACATAGACTTCTCAAACCCTTCAAAATCCCCGTTATATCATTTTAGTCCATTAAAAATCCAATTTCTTAATTATCCCGCTGCACGGTGCAATAAATCATTTTTTCAATATCATTCACCGTGCAGTCCATTTCAGGCTAAAATGTCTGGGCCATGCAACGAGGAAATGATCGATTTTTATCATGTACATAGCAGTTAGTGTCTTTTCAACACATTAAAAAAATTAAAAGCAATTTTGAGTCCGTTGCACTGTGCAATAAGCATTTTATTTTTTCGCACAGTGCAATGACTCAATTGCAAAAAATCGAAGGCGATTGCATTTTTTACAGTGTAAAAGAGGTATAAAAATTTTTTGGAGGTTCTGAAGTTGTTTTTACTTCAGTTTAGATATCAATTTTCCGGCGGGTTTGGTTTTTATCCCCCTTTTTTTCATTCTAAATTCCTCATGAGTAACACCGCAAACATGGTCAATAATACGATCGTATTACAGCGAATCGAGACCTTCCTGAACAACGAGGAGGTGACGGACGAAGAGCGACGTCAACGCGCGCACGAATACATTTTGGCAGATGGGGCGCAGCCCGCTGACGAGGTGTCCATTGAGAACCTGCCCGACGCCGTCAACGACGCCGTGCCGGCCTCGGAAGACCAATTCAACGCCGAGAAGGCGCTGTTGGTCGACGAGGAGACCGGCGAAGCCGTCCCGGTCCTGGTCTTCGACGAGGACGAGCTGGAGAACGCGCTGCAGCAAGAAGCGGAACTCGAGAACGCCGCCGAGGAGCTGGCCAGCGACGGGCCAGTGCTGGTGCTGAGCGACGACGAAGCTGATGCGTTGGAACAAGCGTTGGAGAAGGCGGGCGTTAGTGATGCGGATGAAGCCAAGAGCGTCATCGAGAAGGCGTTACAGCAGCTGAATGGGACCGCCATTACCGAGCCGCTGCGCAAGGAGGAGACGGAAGTTGACGAGGGAAAAGGTATGAAATTGAGGGGAAAAATGATTTTTTTGAGGGAAATTATCGATTTTTATGACTTCTTTGACAATTTTTAACAATTTTATGCGATTTAAAAAAAAATTTCTTTTGAAAAAACGAAATATGCAAATTATGAAATTTGCATAGATTAAGAAAAATTTGCATAAAATTTTAATTTTTGATGAAAATTATTTTCGAATCAACTTCTTTTTCATAAAGTTTGTATATTTCAAAAAATTTTTGCAATATGCAAATTTTGAAATTTGCATAAATTAAGAAAAATTTGCATAAAAGTTTTAGTAATTTTCGCTAGAAATTATTTTAAAACTAAAAATCGAAATTTCCACCTTTATTTTTAGTTTTTTGCTTCCAAATTCCCTAGAAACCATTGACGTGTTCCGCTTTCGTCATTAGTTGACATTTCATTCAAATTTCGGACCAAAAACGGCCGAAAAAATTTGTTTTCACCGTTTCCTTTCACTGACGTTAGCAGACCGAAACATTGCGGTGAAAGTTTCAATGAAACGGTTAATTCGCCTCAGGGAATAATACGTCTGCATGCTTGGACGATAAGAGTAATGCCCTGAGGGCAATTAGAGAGGAAATTGGGGATGAAAAAAATAAAAAAAAATAAAAAAAATTTTCTTTAGAAAAACGCTCCGCCGACGAAAACAAGCTCAGCAACAACGAACAAAAAGAGCTGAAACAGTTCGTTGATGACATTTTGGAGACCAAAAAGACCGACATCAAGAAATTGAGCACCTCGCAGATCGAGAAATTGATCGGATTTGTTGTCCAACTGCAGGAGAATTTGGAGAACACCGTCTTGGAGGACCCTCAACCAACCCAAATCGAGACCAACGCCGAATTGGAGGAGATTGTTCCGCTGAATTCGGATCATGATGGGCAACAATTGTTGTTGAAGAAGGACATCGAGAAGTTTGTGGATGAGGATATGGGTAAGGAAAGAAATTTTGAGGAGAAATTTGAATATGCAAATTTTTCGAAAAAAATTTGAATATGCAAATTTTCAAAAAAAAATTTCTTTTGAATATTCAAATTTTTTGAAAAAAATTTGAATATGCAAATTTTCAAAAAAAAATTGAATATGCAAATTTAAAAAAAAATTTAATATGCTAATTTTTGAAAAAGTTTTTTTGAATATGCAAATTTTTTTTTAATTTCCCGTTTTCCCCCTCTCTGCACCGTGCAAAATCAAAAAATTCTCCTGCACTGTGCGCTTCGAATCACTTTTGTTTTTTTGCACTGTGCAGCAAACAAATTTGTCGCAATGAACGCACAGTGCGAAAAATTTGCGACAACGAAATCTTTTGCACAGTGCAAAACCAAAAAATATGAACTGCACTGTGCAAACAAAAAAGCCTCTTCATTTTTTCGCACAGTGCGGAGATTTTGCGACGTCTCAAGTTGACTGCACCGTGCAGTCAACAAATTTGTTTCTCCGCACTGTGCAATCTTCAAATTGGTTTTTTCGCACCGTGCAAAATCAAAGATAATTTCCGCGCACGGTGCAATGTAATTTGCGTATAATCCCGAATCCCCAAAGTGCATGTAATTACCATATTAGCCAATTTACATCACAATACGGAGTTTTTTCTCGTGACCAACTGCTAATTGTTGTTAGGGTTCATTTCGCGACAAAAAGAACGAACGCTTCGAGTGAAACGAACTAATTCAGTAAAGATATGGCTGTTTTTCGAGTAAATACTTACAAAACTTTCATGAAAACCTTATTTTAACGTGTTCCGAGGCTTGTTTACGTCTCCAGATTTAAAATCGGGCTTAATGCCCTGAGGGCATCAAATTGAATTTCGTGGGAAAATGGAAGTAGAGCTTGAGAAAAGACAATAGAGGCTCAAAAAAAATTTTTTTGTCGAAAAATGATGTCATTTTTGGACTGCACTGTGCAAAAAAATCAAAATAATTTTTTGCACCGTGCGGTAAAAAAATGATTTTTCTTTTATTTTTTTTGGCTAGAACAATAAAAAAAAATTCAAAAAAATCTCATTTTCAGGTCTCGCTGATGTTGAGCACAAGATCGTCAAAGGCGACATCCAACGAGTCGAAGGCAACCGCGTCTATTTGAAGGTCGGCCGAGAGAACATCACCGAAGACGAGCTGTACAAACTCGTCTCCTTCTTGGATGAGAAAATCGCCACCCCCAACAACCTCTACTTCAACGACTTCCAATACGATGACGGACAATTGAGCTTCCGAATCTCGAGAATTGACGACTTCTACAAGCAGAACGACAAACGAGTCGCTAGTGCAAGCGGTGTGGCCCAAGCAGTGTGTAAGTCAAGTTTTGAGAGTTTTGGGACTGCATTGCGCGGTTTAAGGAAAGTTTTTTTTGTATTGCACAGTGCAAAAAATTATATTTTTTTTTCATTTTGCACAGTGCGAAAAATTATTTTTTCATTTTGCACAGTGCGAAAAATTTTTTTTTTTCATTTTGCACAGTGCAATAAAATTTTTTTTTCATTTTGCACAGTGCGATTGAAAAATTTTCAAGATCGCACAGTGCAATCAAACAATTTTTTTATTGCACCGTGCAACTGAAAAAAATCGAAAAAAACTACTTGCCGCACAGTGCAGTGAAGAAATTTTTTTTTGATTTTGCACGGTGCAATCGAAAAATTTTCAAGATCGCACCGTGCAATAACGAAATTTTATTTATTGCACCGTGCGATCGAAAAATTTTCAAGATCGCACCGTGCAATATAAAGAATTTTTTGGTTGCACAGTGCAATCAAATTTTTTTGACCGCACAGTGCAATCAAAAGAAATTTTCCGTCCGCACGGTGCAGTCGCAAAAATTTTTTTTTGGCTTTGCACAGTGCGATCTGAAGAGCGATTTTCTAGATCGCACAGTGCAATCAAAAGAAAATTTTCCGTCTGCACCGTGCAGAAACAAAAATTTTTTCTGCACTGTGCATTTTTTTCAAAATTCAATTTTCTTTTTTTTGTGCTAAAACCTATCAAACATTCAAATTTTTTTTTCAAAATTTCAAATATCGCTTTTCAGACAAACGCCGAAAGGACATCCAAACGTTGGCTGGGGTCAAGGTCGACGAGACTGGAATCGGCTCCGGTGTGGATGTGGTCCCGGTGGAGAAATCCGGCCGTGACTGGCTGTTCATGCCCATTCTGGCCATCTGCGCGTTCACAATCACTTCCCTGGTCGCGGTTTTGGCTGTTCATTTGATCCGAAATCGGCGCCGCAGCTACAAGGGAAGCAATTTCCCGGAGGTTGTGGATTGTCTGGATGGAAAGGCTTCGTATGAGGTGAGTTTTGGGATGGGTTTACGTTATTTTTTCGGGTGAAATTACATTTTTTGGAGTTTCAAAAATTTTCGAAAAAAAAATTTTTGCACAGTGCAGAAATTTTTTTTCAGCTGCACAGTGCGAAAAAATTTTTTTTGGCGCACAGTGCAAAAATTTTCTTTTTTTTTTGACTGCACAGTGCAGTCCAATAGGTTAGATTGCACTGTGCGGTCGGCAATTTTTTTTTCACTGTGCAGAAATTTTTTTTTAACTGCACAGTGCGGAAAATTTTTTTTGGCGCACAGTGCAAAAATTTTCTATTTTTTTTTTTTTTTGATTGCACAGTGCAGTCCAATAGGCTTGATTGCACTGTGCGGTCGGCAATTTGAAAAAATTATTTGTCGCACAGTGCAAAAAAATTTCTTTGACTGCACGGTGCGACCAAACATTATAGTTTGGATTGCACTGTGCGATCGACATTATTTTTGCACAGTGCAAAAATTTTTTTGGATTGCACGGTGCGACCAAAAAAAATTTGCACTGTGCAACAAAAAAAAAATAGTTTGGCGCACAGTGCCAAAAGAAATTTATTTGACTGCACGGTGCGACCAAAAAATTCAGATTGCACTGTGCGGCCGACAATTTTTTCGCACAGTGCAAAAAATTTTCTCCGAAAATTTTTGCCGATTTACGCCTAAAATTTCAATTTTCAGGAGCTGTGCCGTCAACGGATGACCTACCAAGACCCTGTTGGGACCAGTGTTGGAGTTGGAAAATCAGCCTCGACCTCTTCCTGGTAAGTTTTCATAATTTTATCTATTACCGGCCAAGTATAATATAAAAACATACCGTACAAACCCAAAACCTTCATTTTTTCATCCTGCACCCAACGTATGTTGGTCTTGGGAGTGCATGCATAATAGAAACATCTATATAGTCCCATGGAAGTATCATTTTGCATGCGAAAACAGCCTTTTCATCCGTTTTTCGTATAAAAAATCCGAAAGAATCAAAAATTCAGTAATTTTCTTGATATACTCGGCCCTTTCACCTGCCCACATCTCCGAGAACTCGTGGAATATGCAATTTTTGTGCGGAATGACGGGGAATTTGGATAAATTATGCAACTGTGATATGACTCGGTGCAACTTAAATTTTGAATTTTTAGGCCCGACGAGGCGCTTCTGCAGTCCTGCAATTTGGATATCTCGACTGGACATGTGATTCTGGTGAGTTTTGAGGCCAAAAAATTTGAATATGCAAATTTTTAAATTTGCGTAAATTAAAGAGAATTTGCATAAAATTTTAATTTTTGATAGAAATGATATTTGAATTAATTATTTTTTTTCTCAAAAATTTGAATATTCAAATTTTTGGAATATGCAAATTTTTAAATTTGCATAATTTTTTTGTAATTTTTGCTAAAAATGATTTTCAAATGAATTAAATTTTTTCTCAAAAAATTTGCATATTCAAAGTTTTTTTGTAATATTCAAATTCCCAAAATTAAATATTCAAATTTCCCAAAATTTCAGTCATTCCTCCAAGAGTACCTGGACACCCCCGAGAAGATCGAAGAGCAATGGAACAGTGTCGCCGACTACCGCAATCTCCACGCCGAGACTACCATTGGCCAGAGAGAGGAGAACCAATCGAAGAACCTGGACCCCGCCATCTTGCCCTACGACGAAAATGTGGTGATTCTGAAGGACGAGGAAGGCAATGAGACCTACATCAACGCCTCCAAGATCACCGACAGCGACCCCAGACAAGCGGCTTATATCGCAGCGCAGGCGCCACTCGAGAACACGGTAGTCGACTTCTGGCAGTGCATCTGGAGCGAGGGAACCACATTGTTGGTGAATCTGTGCGGTCAAGAGGACCAGAAGAAGTATCAGCGGTACTGGCCGGACGAAGGAGCCAAGACCTACGGGATTTATGAGGTGAGAGGGGATTTGAGACGACTGCACTGTGCAATCAAAAAGTTTTTTTGATTGCACAGTGCAGGAAGTAGATTGGTATCTAAACTAAGATTCACTTGGTGTAGTAGGACTAGAAAAGGGATCTGGCCAATTTTTGGGCCAATCACTTTCCACTGCACCGTGCAATAAACGCTAAAATTTCTCTGCACTGTGCAATCAAAAGTTTTGACATTTGCACAGTGCAGAAGAAAAATTAGTACCTAAAATAGACTCCACCTGCCTTCTAATCTATTTTCGAGTAAATTCGAGAATAGTTATCGTCATGCCATCCTATGCCAACCCCAGATTAAGAGTGCAAATTGACTGCACCGTGCAGTTTCGAACTTTACTTTACTGCACGGTGCGAACAATCAGACTATGAAATTTCCACATCATCACGGAAAAAATGGTTGTTTACACCCGAAATTTCATGTCCGGAAGCAATCTCTCATTCCTCTCGCTAATGTAATCAAATTTAAATTCCGAAGCACGCAAGGGAAGTGAGGTCATTTTGTCATGAGATTGCGGAACGTTCATGGGTCAAAAAATAAAAAATGATACTTATAGTAAAAGATTACTGTAAGGATCATTGTATAACCATTATATACTGTTATCAAAATTCTAGGCCAAAATTTTGAGAACTCGCCAAAATATGAATATCAGACGTCATGGATAATATAAAAAGTCAAAGATATGATTCTAATCTCCCCAATTTCCAGGTTCACCTGGTCTCGGAGCACATTTGGAGCGAGGACTACATGGTGCGCTCCTTCTACCTGAAGAACACCGTGACCAACGAGACGCGCACCGTCACGCAGTTCCACTACCTGGCCTGGCCCGAGGACGGCTGTCCGAGCGTGAAGTCGGTGCTGGAGTTCCGCCGCAAAGTCAACAAGTCCTACCGGGGTCGGCAGTCCGCCATCCTGGTCCACTGCACCACCGGCACCAAACGAACTGGCACCTACTGCCTGCTGGACATGGTCATCAACCGCATCACCAAGGGCATCAAGGAGCTGAATATCGCCGGATCCCTGGAGTTCTTGCGCGACCAACGCCAAGGCATGGTGGGGAATGCGGAGCAGTACAAGCTGGTGTTCGCGTGCGTGGCGGAAGAGGTCAGCGCGCTGCTGAAGAACCTCCAACAATGAAGGGTCAAGGCGAACATGGTCTCCGCAAAAATCGATGATCTCCCATTCTCCGGTCTCTCGCGGCTTTAAAGTGTTATAAAAAGTGTTAAACAGTGTTTGCTAGTGGTTGTACGCAGCATCTCGACTAGTGATTTGCAACTTATGCGGAAAAATCTCGTTATAAACCCATTTCTTTTTGTATAAATCCCACATTTTTGTCTCTAAACCCACCCATTTCTTTGCAATTTCTAATTTCTATCGAGATTTGTCTTCAAATGCGAATGTATTATTAACTACTGACATCTTCAACTCTCTCTCTGACCACCAAAGAGAACCCGAACGGCTACAGGGGCTACAACGGCGTTATAGCGGCGAATATTCTTTAAAAATTTTTCTTTCCGAATAAATTATGCATGAAACAACATCATCCAGAACTCTCATCCCTAACTTATTGTACTTATCTGTGTAAAGGCTAAGATCAACGGTACTCTCCTCTCTCCCCCACAAGAATTTCTCTCTTTTTTCTCTCTGCTTTCTACAGGATTGATTCTCTTTCTCTCTCTCTCACTTTTCGTTTGCAAAACCCAATTGTTTTGACTAAAATAAAGGAAATGCGATGTGAAAATGGAGGAAATACGATGTGACGGAACGATGGAAACGGAAGAAAAATGATGTCTGCGGAGTGCCGGAGGCGCAATGAATCAGATTTTGAGTCTAAACCATCAATATTATACGTTGAGGTGTCTGCACTGTGCGGAAAACAAGAATGTCTTTATTGCACAGTGCAGTTGACTCCAAACTTGAAAAGCTCTATGAACATTACAAATAGACGTCGCATACAAGTTCCATACCATTCGTCAGGCCCGTATAACAACTCAGAAAATGGTTATAGTTCTTTATGTCATCATTGCACTGTGCAATAAACCAAATTTCTTTATTGCACAGTGCGGTTGGCTCGAGAGTGGAAAAGCCTTGTGGACATTACAAGTAGACGTCAAATACAAGTTTCATACCATTCGGCAGGCTCGTACAACAACTTAGAAAATGGTTATAGTTCTTTATGCTATCACTGCACTGTGCAATAAACCAAATTTCTTCATTGCACTGTGCGATGATCTGGTAACTTGGGAACACCTTCTGCACGGTGCAGCGTAAGGCTGTACCAAGTTTGAAATAATGCCTACTGGTATTTCAACCAATTTACATAAGTTTTTGATTATCCCCGCATCACCTGCACAGTGCAATCAACCAAAATTCTCCATCGCACAGTGCGATATATTAAAAGATGACAGAAGCCTTTTGCACTGTGCAATGCGTAAATCGGGATTTTGTAAAGTTGATTCCTACCATACAGTGACGGACCTGATCCAGCGGCAAAAAGCGTATCGTTTAGAATCCGGGAAGGATCAAAAAAGCAGCAAAATACCTCCATCTCCAACTAAGAAAACTCCGTTTCGCGCCCTTTCCCTGACAAAAAACAGAGGATGCGCTTTTGAAATTGGGATCTTTTCTTTTGGAGGAGGAGGTATTTTTCCGTGTTTTTGATACTTCCCGGATGCAAAATGGTACGTTTTTTCTCAATAGATCAGGTCCGTCACTGTATGGCTAGAAACAACGTTCCAAAAGCCGGTTTAGTTTGCCTTGCATAGTGCAGAAGGCTTTAGTCGGCTTTTAAAATATCGGACTGTGCGGTGGAGAACTTTGACTTATTGCACTGTGCAGTCGATGTTGGGATGATCAAAATCGTGTTTATCTTGATTCGACGTCCAGGAGGCACTAATATTTGTTACACCTTTTGCTGCACCGTGCCGTAGGTGTTTTCAAGCGGCAAATTCGTCGCATGGTGCAATGGGGAAATTTGGTTTATTGCACAGTGAAGTGATCACATAAAATATTACCAACCATTTTGGGAGGGTTGAATGGGCCTGTTGAACTGGATAGAACCAATAGCCAGTAGATCAGGTCCGTCAGTGCATGTGATATGAAACAACGTTTCCAAAAACCCGATTTACTTTGAATTTCACAGCGCAAAAGGCTTGTACAAGCGTAGTTTTACCAAATTTTAAGGACTCTAAAGCTTAATAAATTCTAATATGTCTATCTACCGCAAGCTACATCGAATTCTTTGCATCAAATTTTGAGTATCTTCTACAAAGTATAAGTCGACATATGTCATATCCGTAGATACAAAGTAATTCGAAAGTTAGAATAAGACATCTCTTTTCCTCTCCTTTTTCAAAGAACGGGGGTGAGTTCCAATGATTCATCGCCCACCTCCTACTGGAAACTAATTTGATCGCGCAGTGAAGATCAAAGTCAAATTAGACGTCGACGTTCAGCGTTGATTTATTGATTGCGCTGGCGGGTCGGTGTTGCTTAGCCTTTGATTTCGACTATTTTTTCGTTGAATTTGCGATATTGCCAATTATCAGGCTGTCGGAAAAATAATGAGGACAATTTCGATGGGTCAATCGTGCCGCTGAAGTGAAAAAAAATTGATTTTGCCGCGAAAACAATTCATTTGCGATGCGATTTTCGATGCGACAGAGTGCTCATTATTTTCCCGACAGACTGATACTAATATAACGAAAAATTGAATGGGTCCAAGGTCCCAATTTTAGTCGAAAGTAAACCTTCGCATAACAAATCCCTTCTATAGCAAACAATTTTTTGTCTGACAATTCGTTATATAGAGGCTTGACTATGAAATTTATAATATTTTCATGCCCATAATTACAGAAATCCATCGCTGAGAAGACATTAATCATAAGAAATTATGACGTTTCTGGGAAATTTACAACCCAAAATTATTTTCATAGGAAACGGAAACATTAATGGGGGCTTATGACGAATTTAAAGGCATGTTGTTTTGACAGTTATCAGGGGACGTTTTAAAATAGAAGTTATAAAAATTGATTGTAGTACGCGGGCCAAAAAGTCTTTTTTTCGATGAGAAAGAGTGCTCATTATTTTCCCGACAGACTGATGAAGTTTGGTCCAAATTTAGAACAGTCTTTGCAAAAGGTCTTTCTAACACTTCCCGACTTTATGGGTAAACAACAGTTTTAGGGTCAACATCTTTCTTTTGCAAAAGTGCACAGATTTTTTTTCATTTTTATCGCCGTTGCACCGTGCACTTTGCCTTTCGTTTTAATTGATTGCTTATGCACCGTGCGTTATTGTTTTTCGCACAGTGCAAACATAAAAAAGCAATTTGCACTGTGCAAATGCACGCAGACGACCTTGAGGCGAGACTTGGCGGATTTTGGAAAGGAAAGACAGGAAATCATGAATACGATTTGAATAATTGCGGCGGGTGTGCAAAGTTTGAAGAAAGTCGGGGCGTCGTATATGAGTTACTTCACTGGTTAACTAAATCGTAAATTTATACAGACCTGATTCAGTGGCAAAAAACGTACCATTTTGCATCCGGGAAGTATCAAAAAATGTGGCAAAATACCTCCCTCTCCAAGTGAAAAAACTCCATTTTGAAAGGCGCGCTCTTTCCCTCATAAAAAGATCGGACGCGCTTTTGAAATCGGAGTTTTTTCACTTGGAGAGGGAGGTATTTTGCTACATTTTGTGATACCTCCCGAATGCAAAATGGTACATTTTTTTGCCACTGGATCAGGTCCGTCACAGTATAACTATACGGTTTATTGTTAGTTAACCAGCGAAAGTAACCCAAATACGCGCGCTCCGACTTTCTTCAAACTTTGCATACCCGTCGCAATTATCGCAATTATTCAAATCGTATTCATGATTTCCTGTCTATCCTTTCCAAAATCCACCAAGTCTCGTCTCAAGGTCGTCTGCGTGCACTAGCACAGTGCAAGCTGCTTTTTAAGTTTGCACGGTGCGAAAAACAATAACGCACGGTGCATAAGCAATAAATTAAAATGAAAGGCAAAGTGCACGGTGCAAAAACTGTACAACTTCAGGATATTTTATCATACCATATTTTGGATTTGAGCGGACAGTTACAAGAGAGAACAAAAAAACAATTGTCCTTCCCTTGTGGAATCAAATTCATGACGCCTTTCCTCTTCGAAATCCACCAAACGCACTACTTGGCCAAGTGTCGTCTCAAAGTTTGTTTAATCACGCTTTTGCATTCGTGCATTTTGCAATTTCCCAACCCCCGTTGCTTTAGCATATTTCATTGTGCTGACTGACCCCTCACCCATTTTTCGTCTAATTTATCCAAGCTGCAAGTGCTTTGATAAAAAAAATCGCTAAATCTTCCAGAACCAAATGCCTCAAATCAACTTGATTTGTTTTTCCCGGGATTTCAAATCAAAAAACCCTGGGGCGAGGAAACGGATGGGCCCCCGGGGGGTCTGTAATCGATACGAGATAGTTTCTGTGCCCTGAGAGGGAATTAAACTTTAATGAGCTGAGAGGCTTGTTTTAGGCCCACTCTTCGCATTTATAACGAGTTTTATGGGTGTTTGAGAGGGTTTTACAAGTCTAAATTTTTTTGTGTTTTTTATAAACCTTTCATTGTCTAGAAACTGACGATTAGGTTGTATGTTCCAGCGACAGACAAGATATTTAATGACTATTTGTACGAGAGATATCTATAACAAGAGAAGAAAGTTCCAGCCTCAACTTTACAGCGAGATCCTGGATAAGCTTTATTTTTCGAGAGATTATGGAAATTTAGGAGAGACGTTCCGAGAAAGATCGTTATTTGACCATTTCTCCGGCCGTCTCTCCTCAATTTCCATTATCTCTCGTAAAAATTAAAGTTTAGCCAAGATCTTTCTGTAAAGTTGACGCTGAAACTTCCTTCTCGTTATAGATATCTCTAACACAAATAATCACTAAATATCTTGTCTGTCGCTGGAACAAGCAACCTAATCGTCAGTGTTTATGCAATAGAAGGGAATTGAGCCCATTTATTACACTCTCTTTACTAGATACTATACTCTTTGGACACAAAGAGCCTTCATCTAAGCTCTCCCTTTTCGACCGGACAAATCATATCCTGCACAGCTTCATCAGAGCGGGATAAACAGGAAATCCCTCCGACGTAATTTATTGTTCTGCTATTGGAACGGCTTTTTTTACCATTTTTTGACTTTTGTTCGGAGAACAATGTATTTTAGCGGTTCGCTTTCGCTTTAGCGGCAATTTTTTGTTAAACTTTTTGAGGGGACTATATTCTTTTAGACAATAAATTCGCATAACAATGTTTTAGAAGGAAAGTAGTACAGATGCAAGCGGAAAATCAAAATATTTTCGCATCCAATGCACAAGGGATTCCCAAGCGTTCCAAATTTTTACTTCCACCATTCTAATTTAATTAAAATTTCCTCATCCCCCCTTTTTTTGACCGTCCTTCCGCTGAGCGTTGGCCAAACAAAAATCAAGTCCATTATTATTCTTGTGGCCCGCTCTGTTGGGCTGCAATCCGACATTTTCCTTCGCGGCGTCCCGCTCTCGTCGAGGCAGAAAAACGAAGCGAAGGCAGAGAGGAAAAGAGAGAAAAAGCGGCGAAAAAGCGACTTTTTCGTCCTCTTTTTTCTTTGTCCCCAAACCCTTAGGGCATTCGTCTCGACCGCCACTCAACATGTAACTCTTTTTTTTGTCGGTAGTCTGCAAACTTTTCGCGGCCAAATCGCTCGATTTTTGCCATGGATAACACATGTTTTTGGAGTTTTTTTTGCGGAAATTCCTAGAATTTTCTGTTGTCCTGCACTTTATTGCTCCAAATACCAGCTAATAACGTTTATACTCTCTTCTTTTCAACCAATTCCCTTTAGAGAAACCATCGTTTTTTATTGTCTGTGGCATGGATAATATAACTAATGGCTTCTGCTTGGCATTTCCATGGATTTTTTGTCTTTCTACTCTTGCTTAATCCCATTGAACCCTATTGAAGCTCATCCCCATTCTTTTCCATTAATCTGAACGGAAAATTTATATTATCCTTGGCAGCGGTAATAAAAGTCGGTTTTGTCGTCCGATTCCAAAAATATCCTTCATCCGGAAACGTAAAAAGCGTCGTAATAGAGTCGGAAACGGTCTATTCATCACTGCCGTGCGTCTTGGCGAGGCTTTATCAACGGACAATCTTATATTATTCATGGCTTGCTCACCCCGAAAATTTTCGATTTAAAACAACTAAAACAATTGAAAACTGACTTTAGCGCACTAAAACAGCACTAAAATTATACTAACCGCGCTAAACCAAAGTCTAATCCAACCTTCCAACAGCTCTTTCCACAATTTCGCCATAAAATCGAAGCACGTTTTCCGCCCATAAAAATCGCCGCGATAATGCATAAAATTTGACGTCATGGCTGCACGAACGCGTTTTTTATGGGGGAAATCTCCGTATTTTCGGGAAATATTTTATCTTCGCGACTCGCGTGATTGATTCCGTCGTCGTGCGGCATCGGAATTCGCGGGCTCGTCGCCCGAAGAAACTCCATCCAATTATAATATTCTCAATGTGGAATATAATGAAGAAGGTCGGGTTTCGGTTGGTTTTTGCCTAAATTTGCGCTCGCGCTTGACCTGGTTTCCGCATCGACAATGAAGGCGGAACATGGTGTTTAATACAATTGTGCCGTTTTCGGCATTTTTAAACTTTGCCGGCGAGAGGCGAAATTTATTGTCCCCGACAAAAACTCTTGGCCCAAACGCCCGGCTCTAAACGAATTAGCGGCTCGCGTTGGATTGGAAAGCTGTGGCGACGAGGTCTTCTCGTCGTTCGGTGTTAATGAGGACGAGTAATGGCTGTTCGGGTGCCTTTAATAGGCTTTCAATACAGGAGGGTTTTATTAGTGCTTCGTGTAATATGGAAAATGTCGTTTTCTCGCTTTTTCTCCAAAGACAGAGCGCCTTCTTAACGTTAAGACCTTTTTAGGTAATCGTCAGTTAAATGTGTTTTCAAGCCGTTTACTTCCTTTACTGCTCTGTTTTCACCATAATTTATCTATTAGCCCTCGAGTCGAGCTCTTTGAAAAACAACGGAACGCCTTTCGGTTCACAGATATCGCTGTTATTTTGACCTTGGCTTACACTTTAGCGTCCGCTTAACTTTTAATATTTAACACCAATGCAGCTGTTTTAGCGAGAATTTTTTAACGTTGTCCGCGAAGAAAGAGTGATTAGTGACTAAATTAATGTTCATTTCAGAGTCAGTCGGATCAACTTGGGGTTGCTCATGGAAAAGGATGGGTAACATTTGCAAATGTTTCAAGCGGAAGCAAAATGATCACAAGAAACACAAGAATTTGCACAATTCGTTCAGAGTAAGTACTTCTATTCTTTTCGTTTTGGTTTTAGGAGAAAAGCGTAATAGAACATATGTAGTTGGCAAGATACTAGTGCTCGTTTGGTTTTAATAAAACTTGCTTCTTTTAGGGCCAGAACCACCAAACGCTTCCGGGAGGCCGTGAGGTATCGGTGAATAAAATACCCCATATAATTGATCGAGAACTACCCGACGATGACGAATTTGATCCTTCAACGCATCCCACTGCCCCGCCAACTTTTATCGAACGAAGTCAAAGTGGCATTAACAGTAAGTTGTCGGCATTCCAAAGACTATGAGACTGAATTTTGGAGTAATAACCATTTTATTTGCAGTAAAGACAAACAGGTATTCGAGCTACTTTCTTGACCAAATTAACGAACGACGAACGGGTTTGAAGCGCTGGAACTCGTGCTCGACCATTTACTTGGACGATTCGACGATATCTCAGCCTCATCTGAAGAACACGGTGTTATGCATGTCTTTCGCAGTTTATTATCACATTTTAAATAGAGGGCATCGCGGCCATGAAAGGTTGATGGAAATCTTCGAAGAGAGGTTGCACCCAATAGCTGTGGTAAGTTTAGCATCCATTTTGATATTCTGTGTTTAGAGAGACTCACTACTGTCGGAGAATCCGAATGAAGATCCTACACAAAAGTCAATCTACAAGTTCGTTCGCCTTCTTTTCCAAGCTGCCCAGTTAACCGCCGAGTGTGCCATTATTACATTGGTTTACATTGAGCGCCTTCTAAACTACGCCGAGATCGATCTCTGCCCGTCCAATTGGCGCCGAATTGTGTTAGGAGCTATAATGCTGGCGTCCAAGGTCTGGGACGACCAGGCCGTGTGGAACGTGGACTTCTGCCAAATCCTCCACAACGCGAATATCGACGACATGAATGAACTGGAAAGACAGTTCCTGGAATGTCTCGAGTTCAACATCAACGTCCAATGCTCAGTTTACGCGAAGTATTACTATGATCTGAGGAGTCTTGCCATCGCCAATGACATTCCTTTACCCACAAAGCCATTGAGTAAAGAGAGGGCCTCGAAATTGGAGGTACGCTTTGTTTCCATTTTAGTCTGCTGTCTAGGAGGATAAAAGAGCAATCACACTGTAATTTACGTTATTTTAGGCCACCTCTCAAGCCTACGAAGAAAAGAAACTCAACGAGAAAACGACGAAACTTAAACGCAGCTTCTCCATGGAACGCCATGTGGGCAACTCTAAGGTCGTCATTTCCTAAAAATTTCATTTAAATCTCGACAAAACGGAGTCTTTTACCTCTTCTTTTAGCCCATCGAATTAATTTATTCAAATTTCTTTGACTAGTCACTTTAATTTTGTAAATTTTTTAATTTTTTTTAGAAATTTTGCCTTACCCAAAACATTAATGGTATGTCTTTTCACAGCAAATCACCGTCTTTGCTCATCTAATAAGCAGACAATACTTGATTGTAATATAAATGTTGAAAGTTATTTGGATTATGTTTTTCTCGTCAAACGGAAATAAAGCAAGTTTTGAATGATTCTAGGAGGATTACAAACAAGCAACATAAACTTGTGTCAAATTTTATTAAAATATCGTTTCCTGTTAGTGTTGCCATTTAGCATGTCTTGTGATTACATACAAGCAACATAACCTTTCGTATTGTATTCAATCCAATCGCAAAATTGGTCAACGCGCAAATAACCATCTGGATACTTGTCCTTTTGCGTTGCGTATTTCGAACTGGTGCGTATGCTGACAATACCCACTTGGTAGAAAATGTCGGACTCTTCGACAACCAATGGAGCTCCGCTGTCTCCCTAAATGACATTTTTTCCAATCGCAAACAACGGTTCATTCAATAGTTAACTGTCCGTTTACCTTTGACACTCCATGATCCTTCATTCCGCCACAATAAAATTCCCTGCGGTTGAACGTCAAACGATAATTGGATATCTTGATGGCACTGAAAATACTTGAAGCCCACCTACCCTTATGTCGGGAAAATAATGCGGATTGGTCGGAGGGATGTCTAGCTGTCGCTAGGCGGTGCTTGTCGGTTTCAAGACGCGACAAGGCACATTATTTTCCCGACACACCGATAGTACGAATTTTGCTGGGTATACGAACCGACTGCAATTCATAAGGTTGTCTCACCGTTCACACTTTTTAACGTCATTCAGAGCGACTTTAACTTCATTTAGAACATCGTTTCGACCATTTTCTGTACTTCCGAATCCAGCCACAGTTACTAACTCATGACTGCTAGCTCTGTCGCGGTTTGAGAGACAAATTGGATAGACTTTCGGTCCAAATTTCACTTTTTTACGAAGTGTGAGGACTGCTATGTCTTTGCCAATTATCACCGAATTTTGATAGAAATCATGATGTTGTCTGATCCACATCACTTTGTAGATCTCTCCGCCATTTTCTGAATTTTCTGAGCCCAGTCGAACGTGGTATCTAAAAGGAAATAATGGCTGAAGTATGCGGATTACCGTCTCGAAGTGTTGGTAAAGCAATGCGCGGCAGATAAAACGTGGTACGGAGAAATCAAGCTTCCGGTGCAGTGGGCTAAAATTCTCTGTATTTTAATCTTATACATGTGAGAAGGCTTCCAAGTCCCCTTAGAACTAAAGTCACCTTTGCCATCAGCCAATATTGTCGCAACCCATGGCCAGTCCGTGATTTTGCTCGGGCTCCCGCCGATTACTCGTTTCACCCGATTTGCACGTTGGCCACAACCAAAATATTGGCTGGCACAAAACTCCACTAACAAACATGCCACCAAGAGTAGCAAATCGGAAGCTAGCATAATGTGAAAAAAAAGTTTTTAATAATTATTTAATAACGTGGAAATTGAATTTGACGGTGTGAGTCAAGCTCATTATGATTAATTAGGAAGTTAAACAGAATTGGTTTCTCGCTCGTGCAGTTCAGAGGTCTGTAGGGCAAAAGATACGAATTTTCCATATAGTTGAACTTTCTATGAGCTGGACAGTTTCACAGAGAAAATATTCTATGAATTCGGGAAGATGGAGCCGTAATGGAGTGTGTGGCAGCCCATCCGAAGCAAAATTCAATGCTGATTGGGAATACGAAAAGAAGTTTCATGAAATCGGTGAAAAATGATGATTTTTTGTTATTTAGTTTCAAAATTGTCATGTTACAGTAACCCTGACCAAATGGTGTCAACAAGAAAAGTGACGAACAGCGTCCAAAACACATTTCCAGAAGCTTTCAGGGTTCTGTTGCAAGAATATGGGCGTTGTAAACATTTTTCACCATGCAGGTTATTTATTCATAAATCCGTCATCATGACATATTTTTCAAAAAGATTTTACAGAGTGGCTCAAGATAGCTGAAGGTATCATTCTGACTCAAAAAATGACATAGTACTGTCCTACCGCCACTGCCATTTCAAATAGCGGTGATTCTTTATTACCGACACGACTTGTTGTCAACGTATCTGTTGCGCAGAATGCTCTCTCACTCCCACGATGACAAGTCCCGTAGATCCATTAAATCTCTCCGATCGCTTTTATTAATCGCCCTTCCTAGGCATAATGACAAATCGCATGTTGTTGTAATTGATCCGAATACGGAGATTGTTTGCCTTATGCAACTAACGTGTTTTATCCCCTCCTCGGATGGGGGTTTTGTGAATACAAACAAGTCTTTTCGCCTTCTGTTAATCGCTTTCATCATTGTCGCCATCTTCTTCTCCTCCTTCCGCTTCTCCTCGTGTTCATTTCGCGCACTCGAGCGGCTTTTGTCAACAGTCGCCCGGAAAGGAAAACTGTTTGCGCAATTCGATCGCCTCCTCAGGCAATAATCGAATTCTCTCAAGTGTGTTTGTCAATGCTTGCAACTTTGGGGGGCCTTCGGCGGGCTATGTCAGCGGGGTTTGTAAGGGTTGTGGGTTGACATGGAAAGTACTCCAAGTGCGGAGATTTGATATTGATGAAACTTGGCACAAATTGAGAAGAAATTTTTGCAAGAAATATGCAAGATTTATTACTTGTGATTTTCAGAAATGAACCGGATTTTTAACTCGAAAGTTTGCAAAGATGCTTTTTTGACGGTTCTGGCATGAAAAGTTTCATGTCTATTTCTACCACAGAGGTTGATCTTTCCATAAAAAAATCATTTTTTTTTCACGCGGAGCTGATGGCCAACCATGGCCAAAAGCGTTTTTCACTCATTTTCTTCCGCTCTCCTCGTTTTGCGTACTCTCTCGGCGGCAAACATCGTTCAAAATATATCGAGTTTATTCTGCTAAGCACGGGCTAAAGGCTTCCGGAATTGATATACATATGCCCAACGTGTTTGCAAAGCTCAAATCTGAGCATCGCACTTGTAATACACTAAAAATTACACCAAAAAATTCCAAACCCTTCAAAGCTTAGTTGAAGTTTTACAAAACAAGTTTTGGTTGTTTATGTTACAATAGTTCGGGTTCAAGGAAACTGAGGTTAGCAATACCTAACACTAGATAAAGTAGTCATGTTGAAAGCCTTCGCCAAGTCTTCGCCGAGCATCCAGCGCCATTGCTAGGCCTTGCAAGCACGTCCAACAAAGTTTTTTATGGCTCCGCCTGTCTTATGCCTAGTATAAATCGATTTTGAGTTGACTCAAAATGTCGTCGGCGCAAAAATTTTTTGTGATTGATGTGTGACTAGTGTAGGTCCTCTTCACAAAATTTCAAGACTCTCCACCTGCTGCAGACACCCTTTACTTCCCAAATAACTTTGATCTCTTTGACTCAAATTAGTTCAAACCTTTCCGACCAATTCGTTCTCGGAACTCACCCTGTTTACGTCATTATCCCCTTCACAAGCTGACCTACATTATACCGCATAAACTCATCGCGAAAAACCCGTGAAAAACCTTGAAGCCCGGCCCCATTTTCCACCCAAATTTGCAATGCCATGTTCTCCTTTTGTTCAGATTTAGTTGCCGACCTTTCGCGAACCTTTCCTTTTTTTATTTATTCTCCAATTTTTACCTCTTTTGTAGCGCTGAAGGTCAAGACTTGGTCCTCTTCTCCTCTCCTTTTTTGCATCTCGCTAGCAAACTTTAATTTTTTTGAGTTCCACTCGATTATGGAGTGGGGGAGTTTGGCTTGTGGAAGGGCTTGTTTTAGGCTTATTATATACTTTAACAACTTTAAACGCTTTAAAGTGGTAAAGTATTTTTTGAAGAGGCTGAAAGTAAAAGTCACTTTTACTCCTTCACATTTTGTTTACAAGTCTGCTATTACCACACGTTTTTGAGCGTAGACATTTTTTCTCTTTTGCACAGTCCATTGTGAACTTCTTCCCACGCTTGTCGTCATCGCACAGTGCATTTTTCCTTTTTTCCTTTTGCAGCGTGCAAACCTCAAAAAAGCCGTTTGCACTGTGCAGATTTTTGAGCAAAACCGCAGCGGCGCAGTTGAGGAAAGCTTACGTCGCAGCGATATTTCGCCGCACAAGGCAACCAAGAAAAGTGGTGATCTTTTGTGTATGGTATGGGGCTCGATTAATGTCCATGCACTTTATTAAAATGATAGTTGCAAAAAAGCTCCGAAGAACTTGAACATCACTTGGTACATTTTTGAAAAAAGTCCTATATCAGCGATTGTCATTGGCCTCAATTTACCGGCAAATACAGTGGCCGGCACTTCTCAAAATTTCTTGGCCAGCCTATGGTTTAGTAACTTCTCTTATTGCTAGCTCTTCCGGAAAGTCGCCGGACTGATTTTTGCGTTTGCACTGTGCGAAAAAGTCACGGTGCGAGCCAGAGATTGCCACGGCCAAAATTTTGGCTCCGGCTCCGGCTCTTGGCTCCGTGCAAAATTTAAAAGGCGTCCGGCTCCGAATCCCGGCTCCTATGAAAAATGTTTTTTTTTAAATATTTTTCCAAGAATAAAAGTTATTAGTGCCAGAGATCATACAGCCAACGTTTTTGCAGTCAAGTCGCATCCTCCGCAGTGTTTTTCAAGCAATTTGGTTTAACAAGATCACGAAATTTTTACTTTTCTGACCGCTGGGAAGCCTGGCTCCGACTTTGGGCTCGGGAGCCGGAGCCGACCCCAAAATTTTCGGCTCCGGCTCTGGCTCGGAGCCGCTCAGAGCCGGAGCCAAGAGCCGGCTCCGGAGCCGTGGCAATCTCTGGTGCGAGCGACAGCTCAAAAAAGCCTATTGCACGAGTGCAAAAATGAAGAAATTGCACATTGCAAAAAAAATTCTTGTCTTTGCACAGTGCATGTCGCTGATTTCAGTCCGGCGACTTTCCGGAAGGACGCACAGGATTTACTTGAAAAAAATTGTGATCATGCTCCGAGTCATCAAAATCACAGTTGCAAAATTTTTTAATCTTCTAAACCGTACGGTTTCAAGTGCAAGAACACGATTAAAAGTTGATGAGAATTAATTGTTCGAACGCCTCTGGAATTTAATCAGGCTTGTAAAGCTTGTAGCGGCGGAATTTCCAGCCGGATTCGAAGGCGATTATCGGCGTCGAACGGGAATGCGATCAACGTCAGCTATAAACTTCCCGCCGACAAGAATAACATGGTATCTTCAAAATTTTTTGAACGATTTTTTAGGCTTTTTTTGAGCCTAGAGGATTTGTAAAATACGGTGTTTTAATTTTTTCATAAAATTCCCAAAAATTTTTTATTCTTTCCGCGGAAAATCTCATTTTTTTCAACTTTTTCCCTCCAGACATACAATTTTTATTATACTTGTAAACATGATCTAGACATGTAAGGGCTTCTCTTCTCTTCATTTTTATTGTTTTTTCTCTAATTATTCGCTTCTGGATCTCCATATTGCGCAAGATTGTAATCCGCCCGTCAGTAGACCCCATTCCCTCATTTTTTGTCGGATAAACCTAGTTTTGTAAGCAAAAAATTGCGAAAAAAAAGTGTTTTAGGGATGGTTTGCAGTGAATTTTTGGAGTTCCTATACAACAAGGATTTTCTATTGCGTTTTTTGAGAAAAAATATTATTTTTTTTGAATTGCAAAATTTTGCACTGAAAATAAAAATTTTTGCACTGTGCAGTCAAAAAAATTGGTGCACGGTGCGGAAAAACCCAAAAATCTTTGCACGGTGCAAAATTTTTTGGAAGATTTTTTATGCACTGTGCGGTCGGAAAAAAAAATTTTGCACCGTGCGAAAAAAATTTTTGCAAAAAAAATTTGCACAGTGCAGAATTTTTGCAAACTTTTTTTGCACTGTGCAGTCAAAAAAAATTTTTTGCAGGGTGCGGAAAATCCGAAAAATTTTTGCACAGTGCAAAATTTTTGGAAGGTTTTTTTGCACTGTGCAGTCAAAAAATTTTTTGCACTGTGCGAAAAAAAATATTGCACTGTGCAGTCAAAAAATTTTTTGCACGGTGCGGAAAATCCGAAAAATTTTTGCACAGTGCAGAATTTATTGGAAGACTTTTTATGCACTGTGCAGTCAAAAAAATTTTTTGCACTGTGCGGAAAAACTCAAAAATTTTTGCACGGTGCAAAATTTCTGGAAGGTTTTTTTTGCACTGTGCAGTCAAAAAAAATTTTTTGCACTGTGCGAAAAAAATATTGCACTGTGCAGTCAAAAAAATTTTTTGCACGCGGAAAATCCGAAAATTTTTTGCACGGTGCAGAATTTTTGGAAGATTTTTTTTGCACTGTGCAAAATTTTTTAATTTCAAAATTAAAAATAACCTTTTTGTGACGAGTTTGGTCACAAAAATACAAGTTTTGTTTTGTTGAAACACCTTGACTTGATCAAATATTACCTTTTTCTAGATGGTTTTTGATTTTTACCCTCTCTTTAAT